TTTTTATCGTATCACTGACAATGATAATTATCGATAATAGTTTCACTGTTGGTTGCTTACTTTTTACAAGTATAAAAACTAAATATTTGTTATACCAGACTCTATGCGGAAAATGAATTGCCCGAAGAATTTAAACTCTTCAAGCCACTTCAGCGAGCGAAATGCGTGCGAGAGGAGGACGTGGTGAAAGAAAAGAAAAAACCGGAAGAAATTGAAACGGAGGAGCCACCCTTCGAAGCAGCTGAAGTGGTAGAACCAGTAGAGGAAGAGGTAGAGGAAGAACCAGCAGAAGATGAATTGATCGAAGAGGAGGCTGTTCCCGTGGAAGATGTGCGAAGACCGGATGAAATCCGAGAGGAAGTCGAAGACGAGGAAGAAGAAGAAGAGGAAGTAGAGGAAGAAGAGGATGAAGTGGAGCCTGCAGATATAACCGATTACGAAGATGAAGACGAAGTTGATGAACCTGGAGTTGTTCCGGTAACTCCTGGATACGTCACGGAAGACGAAACCGATATAGAACGAGATCAAGGCGACGAAGACGAAGAATATGGAGTCCCATAGAATTGAGAAGTTTTTGATTTCGTGTAAATACCATGAGTAAAGTGACTCGAAATAGCGTCCAAATAAATTTCGTTGTAAATAAGTTGAAATCTAAGAAATCCTGTTGGATCATTCTTTCTGCTTGATGTTTGATTTTGTAATAGAAAAATACGTCGATCGATAACTCCTCCAGAAAAATATTTACATTTGGAAAATTACATTTCGCGGAGAACGTAGATAAAATATATAGTAAATAGACATAAGTATAAATATGGATAATTTCTTTCATTCATTATTTATCTTTTATACATCATTTTCAGTTAAAAAATATACTTTCATTTGATATTCAATACTAATTATAAAAAGATAAAATTAAAATTACGGACTGTTACTGTATGTGAAACAATAAAATCATCATTGACGACACATACATATGATACAAATACAAAATATGAAATAAAAACTTAGCCAATATTTAGTTATGGTACATCGTAATCATCATCTTCTCTTTTCCTTTTCATGGAATCTTCAACTTCTATTTTAACAGGAGGCATTGTTTGCCCTGAGGAAATCTGTATTTTTGGTTTACCTACTTGTGCTTTTACAGTACCTCCTCCGGCAGCTGTAAATTTCAACATTTAATACAATAATAAAATACTTAAAATAGCAAATTTTTAATATTACTACACGATTAATTTTATATCTTACATATTTGTGTTCTTAGTGAAATATGGATAGAGGGAACAGATGTTTGGGAATGCAAGGCTCTGAAGGGATCTATGGAGCAATACATAATTGTTGTTTGTCACATATTTTTGTAACTTTTTTTCTATCATTTACCTGTTGAAAACTTCAGCACCGGTTTTGGCATAGAAATACTTTGAGTTCTAGCAACCGTTGCAAGTGTCCCTGGCCTTTTAACTATGGAAAGACCAGATTTATTACTTTCAACTTTGATTTTAGATTGACCACCTTGGATGTTGTTCCCGACCAAAGGATGTAACGGTTTCCCAACAATCTTCTTTGTCACATTTTTAAGTTTATAATTCGTTGCATTCAAACAAAATCTGTCAGGTGGTAATCTTAAGCCAGTGTTCGACTTGACAAATGGAAGTGGTATATTGTTTTTCGCTCGAGCAACATCTAATAACACGTCTCTTGGCGGTGGATTTGTGAACGTACGCTCTAACTGCATCTTAACTGCCAACCTAACATCATCTAAATCGATGAACTTCTTTTTAGCATGATTTGCATAAATTCTACTGTCGTCCAATATGCAAGTAACATAACCTGTAAAATATAAATCAATCATTTTATAACTTATCGTTTCTTAACATAAAACTATAAAAATAAGAAGCGGTATACACGCATGATTATATATCTTATAATATTCACATTATTTTCACAAATACGTACGATACGTAAATTCGAGCAATTGGTTTATAACCTTCGGTTCGTAATCTGTGATCCCCATGTCTTTCATAATGGACATTATAACTTGGGCATCTTTCGGAATATGTTTCACGTGACTCATGGTTTTCGTTTTCTCCGTCATTTTAAAAAAATAGTAGTACTCTTATAATTGCACTTTCCACAATAATTCGTAATCACAATTGTACGTAGGTTAGCGTCCGACAGAAAATTGTGAAGTACGCGCCATTATTCACACAGTGCTGCCATCGATAAGATGTGAATTTTCGAGGTTAGAAGTTTGTCATTCACACATCTTTTAATTAATAACAATTATTTGTTACCGTCGTCATTTTCATTATTAGATAAATATTTTTGAGAATTTGATGAGCAAGAAAGATATGTGATGTTTAGAAACGAAACGAATTTTTTCGTTGTTAGTATGGCAACCATTGAGACAACGTGTAGCACATTTCAATTGAATTTGATTACTCAGTTCGTGGCTTGCCATCAAACTATCTTGGTGGATTTTTGCCGCAAGAATTATATATTGTATAAAATTTAAAATGAACATCACATCAGCAGGTAAATTATTTATTTTCAACGTAACAATATAGCGTACGTCTAAATTTTATTACCTGCGAATTTATTGGTACATTTTTACACTGTATTTGGTTATCACACATGCAATGATTTGCAAATCTTGTGGATCATAACCTATAGATTTGTATTTGAAGTTTTAAATACAATAGTATATTTTGTACTAACAGACGTTAAACATTGTTTTACAATCCATGTATTTTTTAATTAATCCGATTAATTGATCGTGATTACTCTATTTTCAGCTGGTATCATTTCCCTCCTTGAGGAGCCAATGCCAGAATTGAAGGTGTTTGCTTTGAAAAAACTGGATATGATAGTCGATGAATTTTGGCCTGAAATTTCCGAGGCCATAGAAAAAATGTAAATAATTTTTATAGTACTACTTATTTCTTTATAAGTAATTTTATTTGATAATTTTTTAATGAAACATTTTCTTTTTTATTCAAGTGAGATTCTTCATGAAGACAAATTATTCCCTCAACATGATTTGGCTGCGTTAGTTGCTAGCAAAGTATATTATCATCTAGGGAGTTTTGAAGATTCTTTGACTTATGCTCTGGGAGCTGGAGAACTCTTTGATGTTAATGCCCGCAATGAATACGTTGATACTACTATAGGTAATACCAGTGTTTTATTGGCTGCTACTTTTAAATATTATTTAAATTATATTTTATATTGAGAATATTTATTTTTGTATTATTTCAGCTAAATGTATCGATTATTACACTCAACAACGCGTGTTGGAAGCTGAGGGAAAACTGCAACTAAACAGCAAAGGAATTGATCCGAGATTAGAAGGAATTGTAAACAGAATGTTTCAGCGATGTTTAGATGACAATCAGTATCGGCAAGCTCTGGGTCTTGCTCTCGAAACAAGAAGAATGGATATCTTTGAAGCTGCAATCATGCAATCAGTAAGTTGAATGTAACTTGTAAGTATAGGTGACAGGAAAATTTATTAATGTATTTATTGTAGGAAGATGTTAGTAGCATGCTATCCTATGCGTTTCAAGTTGTGATGAGCCTCATTCAGAATCGTGGTTTTCGTAACACTGTACTTCGTTGCTTAGTAAGCCTTTATCGTAACCTGGGAACACCGGACTACGTTAATATGTGTCAGTGTTTAATATTCCTCGACGATCCACTGGCTGTCGCTGAACTTCTAGACAGACTGAGCAAAGGCTCACAAGACTGTGTTCTTATGGCCTATCAAATCGCATTTGACTTGTACGAATCAGCAACTCAACAGTTCCTTGGTCGTGTTTTACAAGCGTTGAGAGCAACTGCTCCTATCCCGGGAGCCCTTATGGTTAAACCAATTGTAAAACCAGCTGTGAAAGCAGCCACTGAGGCTAGCTCTTCCGAGCCAGCAGCTACAGAGACTGAAAACAATAGCAATACACCAGCTCCCGAGGAGAAATCTCAACGTAGCGTTGAAAGTTTGGTAAGTTTTTAAAAATAAAATAGTACATACACACTGACATAATGCACTAACATAAATTTGTTAATTTATCGTTTTGTTTATTCAGAATGCCGAGGAACGTGAGCAACAGGAACGCGTGGATGCTTTGTCAAGCATATTAGGCGGAGAAATTTCTATCGATTTGCATCTCCAATTTCTAATTCGCAGTAATCATACCGACATGTTGATATTGAAAAATACTAAAGACACTATACGTGTGTCTATTTGTCATACTGCCACCGTAATCGCGAATGCGTATATGCATTCTGGAACTACTAGCGACCAATTTTTAAGGTAAATATACTTTATTATATTCAATCTAACCAGATTATATTTTTAAAAAATGTCTCTATGCTTTATTTTATTTCTTCATTATATTTTAGAGATAATTTAGAATGGTTGGCTAGAGCTACGAACTGGGCAAAATTAACGGCAACAGCCTCCTTAGGAGTAATTCACAGAGGCCACGAGCAAGAAGCCTTAGCTCTAATGCAGTCTTATCTTCCACGAGATACTGGCGCGGGAGCTGGTTACTCCGAAGGAGGTGGCTTGTACGCGTTAGGACTCATTCACGCAAACCACGGTGCAGCAATTACGGATTACTTGCTTGGTCAGCTGAAAGACGCACAAAATGAGGTATAGTAGTCTACTGGGATATATTGCGATTGTGAAGTCAATTCAGCGGTAAAATAGATGCGTTGAGTCAAGTGTTGAAACAACAAACAATTTAAAACTTAAATCAGAAGATAAGAAACTTGAGCTAATTTTGTTCGATCAAATATTTTTAACCTTTTTCCATATATTTTTTCTTTTCAGTCTATGAAAAGTTAGAGTTTCAGATATTATATTTCTTTATAGCAAATGTAGTATTGCTTATTTATCTCAACTTGCTATTACGCAATACATTTACAATCTGCAACGATTTGCTTTACAGATGGTACGTCACGGAGGTTGTTTAGGATTGGGTCTAGCTGCAATGGGTTCACACAGGCAGGATGTGTACGAACAATTGAAATTCAATCTTTATCAAGATGACGCTGTTACTGGCGAGGCTGCGGGCATCGCTATGGGCATGGTCATGCTTGGATCAAAGTCAACCCAAGCAATTGAAGATATGGTTGCGGTAAGTAAGAAATAAAAAATTCTTTTGCACGAGTATTATTTGTAATAAATAAATCATTTATTTCTCAATGTGAACAAGTATTTCACACACTCAAGCTTATGCGTAGCATAATTTTACCCAAGGGCGAAGGGTGAACTATTTCTAGTTTTGAAGTTGTAGGTTCCTTTAGCTCTGTGAAAGAAATTAGTCCGTATTAGCATCAGATAACTCAGTCGAAATCAGTTCTTTAACTAACATTAATTTAGACTTTGCGATTACTTTCATTTGATTTAATTTTGTCATTGATCTCTGTCCAAGTAGAAAGCACAGTTTTAACATAGATTATTACAAACCAATGACACTCAACGATTTGAGTATATATTATGCTGTCATTTATAATTATTGTATTTGATACTATTTGATGACTTTTTAAAACAATAAATAAATTAAATAAAATTCTACGCACTTGAATGCACAATAAATTCACAATTAACAACAGTAGTAGAAACTTACTTTGGATCGACGGTAGGGCCACCCATGTACGCCTTTGCACCATTCTCAGCTGTACCTAGGAAACCTTTCGAATTCGTCACCGACTCACTGTAGTATTGGTAACTGCGTCCATGCGCGCAAGAGCCTACGTCCCAGAAAATTTATTTCCAATATTTCTGAAACTTTTTCTTCGGCAACAAAAACGGATTCTGTAGTGTGCTTTGCTTACCGAACATGTCGTTTGTGCATCCCGGTTGATACCTCCCGTCGTTGGCGAAGAAGTCGGAGGTACCGATAGAGATATCCAAACCTAGCAATCCAGCGCATGTGTGAACAGCTTGAACGTTCTGTGCGTCCGATTTGTCAACTCTGCTACCCGGCCCTTTGTTTTCGAACATTGGCTTGGCTGGATCGAGAGCTGTAATCGCAGATATTTCGAGATCTAGCGCGTTTCGCGACGACGATATTTCGTTACATTTGAAACAAAGAATGACGATTATACTGTAAGCTTCACAAAAGAGTAGTTTTAAGAACCGATGTTTTGTTAATTAATCCTATAGTATCGGAATTATCGAGATTAAACTCGTGTTTCTCCGCTTAATGTTACACCTTTTGTTAGCTTGGTTTTTTGCCTGTTCATTTTCAATATTAAAATATAGGGGGAGGGGGGAAGAGAAAAGATTATAAAGATTGTATCTGTCAGGTTTTCCTCATTTTCAATTGGAGTTCCGAAATTTGCATAGGATTCTTCGTTCAACATTTTTTCCACGAATTTTCTCTCACGTTTACGATAATCTGAATATATATCCTCTATTTAGAATCGTTTATCTTTTAATTGATCGTTTACTGCTTATCTCCAATCCAATAAATCTGCTCTGTTGTTTCCAATCTCGCATGATGATCTATTGTCCTCGATTCTCGCGTAACATTTTAATATAATTTAATAATATTATAAGTACGAAGGGTAAGCAGTCCATTTTTCGTTTATGATAATTAGAACTGCGCAAAAATAGCATTTGGCATTCTAATTTCTTTGCTAGAATTAGATCACACGGAATGTTGGATAATTTTTTTTCAAAATTGTTTCCGATCTTGATCAAAGTCAAGTACCATTTGCATCCGCGACATTCTTTCAACGAATTTTCAAATAAGGTCCTGGCTTTTAAAAGCGATGAATCTTGAATTATAAAGATTAACATTCTTCTGAACACAAGAATGATTCCAAAGATTTCGAGAAGATGAAAATCTGTTGGGAAACTCTGAGGAATAGAGAGAGTTTTCGTAGTCTAACGCTAAGAGTTTCTGTACAGTAATTTGTAAAGTGTACGGCCCATAAAAGATGGATCCACATCGATTTAAAAAAGAAAAAAAAAAAAAAAAATGAAAATATTCCAAAAATATCGAACGATCTCCAACGAATTGAATGAGCACAAATCCACTTTCTAGCAGACTGAAATATTGAAACTCAGTTTTCTCGATGAAGCAAATTTGCCACATCCTCTTGTTACTACATCCATTGTTACTCACCGATAACTTCCGCGACATTGCCTACTTGTCTGGCGCTCAAACCGGCGACATGAGCACCGAGAGAGTGTCCGACAATCTTCAGGTTGGTCGTTTTCAAACCTGCCTTTGAACGCAGGAAATTCACGAAAGCGGCCACGTGGTTGGCGACAGATGGTACGCTCTTCGCAACGCGAGAATAAATCACGTCGTCCGCTATTTTATTCCAATCGACCACGATGACATTGCAGTTCCACACCTTGATGAAAGCTATGAACGAAATAAATTAGTACACGAGACGGTGTAATTATAGGATCGGCTGTTTCGAAATTATCTCTGAGGATGTAAGGATTTTGAAAGTTAGTGGATATAAATGTTGAAACAGCAATGGAATCTTTAATTGAAAAATATGAAGAATAATTTTGTGTGTGAAATTATGAAGTATTATAGCATATTGAAATAAAATTAAATGAAGTGCAGTCGAAGTAACGGAGATTCGACTTAGGTGACTCAAACTTAGTACGAATGTCAAGAATAAGAAATTATACTTGGACTTATATTTGACAATTGGTGAGAGATCATTAGTCTGCGTGTAGTAATTAATCGAAGATCGAGATATCTTTGCTTGGAGTTGTACTTTCCAAAAAATCGAATTCGTAGGTCTCTCAAATGTATGTGTTTCACCTTTTTTTTTTAACGAGTCCTTAAAAAGGAGAAAAATTTTATTCCACACCTCAGAATTATCTTCTTCTTATTTTATTTTTTTCTAAAAATAATTGAATTCTCGTCTTATTTCGAGTCGAATTTTCTCAATATTAATTACGTCTTTCAAACGGCGTCGTTGAGCTCCATTTACTAGATGACTGTGATAATTTATATTACTACAATAAAAGATACTATAGATAATTTATATTAAATCCTACAATTCAGGATATCTCATCTTGTTTTGTACTTCACATTGTCCATGATAAGAATTAGTAATCGAATGAAATTGAAAACTCGAAAAATTAAGCAATCCGATCTGAAATCCATTGATCCAACGATACTGATCAAGAATTGATCTTACGCTGTATTTTGAAACTTGCTCACCATCGCGAACGAGAGTGCAAGATTCTGACGTGCCGCTAGAAGTCCAACCGTGAGTGACTATGATGGTTGGTTTCTTCGCGTCCCAATCACTATTTCGAACAGAATTCACGTCGTTCAGTATCAGAGCCTGGCCGTTTTTAGGATTATACCTAGAACGAAAAATTTTATTTAGAAGACAAAGTAAAAAAAAAAGAATAATAGTTGTTTCTGTGTCTAATTCCATTAGTGTGAAACTAGATGAAATTACACATCCGTATGAATGAAAAAAATGAACTCTGTGAAATTCTTACAATTTATGAAATTTTTAACAATTGATAGATATAGTTCTTGAAAGAATTGGAATTTTTACGAAATGAATTTCTATCACTATTCCCTTGAATCAATTATATTCGCAAGGACGCGAAATCTGCATGAAACTTGGCAATGGAGTAGAATGGTAAAAATTATTTTGTTCTTTCATAAATATTGGAAAATTAATGAAGGTGTACAAGCCTGACCGTGTGAAAAGTGTGAAATCGATCGTGTTGAGATCTGTTGACAAAGTGTTCAGCTCGCTCGTAGACAGCGGTGTGTAGTCGAGTAGAATCAGATGCGGCCTTCCTTCCTCGTTCGGGAAGATCGTGTAATTGCTGTGCGACAACGTTGAGAGCAACGTGGGATAAACTGGAAAAGAAACGTCCCCCGTCAATTTGCATTAAATTAAAACGAAACGTTCGAACTTGCAGAAATTTGAAGTCGCGAATGTGCTCGCAACACACGTAATTTGAAAACATTTGAAAACATTTAAAAATATATTTCGGATGCAAGAAGTGGCGTGTTCTACAAAGATAGAAACAAATTTCTATACGATCACGAAAATCTCCAAATATAACCGATATTATTAAAACACATTTTCTGATACGAACGTAATGCTAACGACGCGTTGACCATTGTGTCGGCGTGGCTTGCTATACACGTGGCGAGATGTAGCTGTGACTTCTTTGCTTTCGCGTTTCGCCGCCTCCTTTTATAGGTTCAAGGGAAACAATAGGTTATCCATTCGACTGCTGCACCGTTGATAAGTCACTGATACACATCACTGATACACGTCACTGGCGTGTTCAACGATTCACACACTCGCAAACCTCCCGCTGCGAGTAGTCAGGGAAAGTAGATTTTAGTTTTATGTGCAAAGTATTTCCCATGTCACCTGAATGTTACATTTATTTTCGTGGAGTAACAATTTGGAAATCTATTTCTCCGAAGTGCTTGCTCATATAGCTGTAGCAGATATTCTTCTGATGTTACTTTTGTAATATTTAAATTTTAGTAATAACAATAATAATATATAACAATACCTGTATAATATATTATGTATTATTAATTATTTTAAGTATTCAAAACAGAGTGCTCAGACATTGACATTATTATGATACAGTTGAAAATTCACGTGTGGAAATGAATGCTTTTCGGAATAATATCTCAATTATCACTATCAATGAGTTTTACGCCATTTCTCTGATAACTTTCTGGATCCCTGCTCGATAAAAACTTGATGTTTTCGAAGCAATAAAGTCATGTAGATCTCTTTTAATTTCGTCGAATTTTGTAGATCTCGCATCTCTTCGTATGTCGCGGAGATAAAAAATTAGAGACTGACAAATAAATGTCAACGTGAGGGAGAATTTCCCAGCTGAATGAAAAAGTTTCTTTCATTTGGATTTATTTCGTCAGAGCGCAGGATTCCTTTTGACAAATTGACGATCCTTTTCCCGAACAATCAGAATGGTCAATGTTCGACGTTAATGCTTGCATTGCTGCGAATGATCAGCTTTTTGAACCAGTATCTTCGTTCAATAGATGACGTGATGATTGCAAGATAGTAATATGGATAATGAAGCGAACGATGACGGTCGACAAATAAATAAGTGAAAGGAAACAAAGTCCGGGATTATTTGCAGACCCGTGTTCGACCTTCGAAATTCATTTCCACTCATCGTCCTTTTGTTTTCTCTATTATTCTGAATCTCAAAAGCGACTCGAAAACGATTGAAAATTGGACTCTCTACGTGTATCTAGAAATATATTTTTTAACATGTAGAAATATTTTTAGATATTCCAGAAATATATATATATATATATTTTTTTTTTTTAATTTCATTCACTCGTCATAGAAGTTATCTGAATTGAAAAATTATTTTATATTTCTTCTCTTATTTCATAGTTTATGTTTCGAAGGTGGTCGGAGATTATTTGGCTATTACAAAAAGAGGTCGTGAGTGCTTTTTTAGGTTACTCTCGCGAGGAATGTCTTCGAAATGAGTTTTTGATAACTCCGTAGAGATTAGAAACTAATTTATCACGGTTTTACCCGAATATGTAACGTCACGTGTCGATAATATTTCTTTTATTCAATTCGTCGTTAGATAGTAATTAGAATGCAGAGTATTTTATAGGTTCATCAATTTATAGGTAAGACATGTTTTAAATTGCCTTTTTAATTTTCTTCGGGGAGGGAGACCATTTTCTTTCGAAATTCTCTATCGTTATGTGATATTAATTATTCGATCGGCAACACACTAATTTCTTATGGTATTTCATACGATTTCCTTTAACGCGGCTCCTCAATTTAACGTAATGATTAATTTAGATTTGCTTTCAAACTTGACCAATCGAGTCTCTAAGGATCTGATGATTTTTATAATATATCACATGCTAAAACAGGGATAATTTCATTTTCGAAAATTGTGAAAATTCCAATTGAAATGTACAACGAGATTCTGGAAATTTGTTGTACCATCTTCTTTTTCTTTTCACCATTTCGTTGAACGTTAGAATTTCTCGAATTTTAATAAATAATGAAAGAAACTTCAATCCTCAAGATCATTATCAATTTAGTCGGGAAACAAATTTTTCAATGTCTTTAGGATCTTGTTTGATCAGTGAAATTTATATCTTATTTATTTATTAAATATTTTGATTTTTCTCTTATATTTACTAGTACAATTGTAACATAATTACTAAACATTAGCGAATTATTAATTACTAATATACTGATTTGGCATTTCATTGGATTTGTCACGTAATTTTTATTAATTACAATTTGCAATTTGTTCTTTCATATTTGCTAATTTATAATTGTAACATGTGTGCTCGAACTTCAGAAGAAATCGCGGATTTTCTTGTCACGCGTTGCGAACTGGCACGAGATTCTCAGATAACATCGATCAGAAAGTTCGTGTTACGTGTATTTTTCTCGTGCATTAGCGATTCTTCAAAGTGTTCCAGTATTTTAAAGTAGAGCTCGGTATATCTCTAGATAGAAGCTGTTAGATACCTTTTTTTTTTTTTTTTTTTTTTTTTTTTTTTTTTTTTTTTTTTTTTTTTTTGCTAAAAGCGTGGAAATTAAAAATGGCAAGTGTAATGGAGAAGTGTATTCTTGAGATCTCTCTTGATTTTTATACGTTTTCATAATACGACGAGCAGATTATGAGAGACGTGTTGAAATAGAAAACTATGCGAGCGTCGAGAGAAATCTCGCATTTTTAGTTTCCTTTTGAAAATGCGAGGAATCCAATGGTTGCTTGAATTAATCGAAGGATTTGTCGAAGAAGTTGTTACGTAATTTCATAATAATTTTGTTGCGTAACAAGTTATTTATATATTATATGTACAATTATTTATATATATATATATATAATATCGGGATTTTTGGTACATCAGTTTTCAAAAATATTTGTAAAATATTTGTAATAAATATCATATACTTTAATATTGAAAATATGTAAAAGATTTCAGAAGCAAGTAGCTCAATAGTTTGCTGAATAATATATAAATGTTTCCTTAAAGTTAATGTCTATTTATCTAAGTACATCAAGATATTTGTAAAATATTTCCATTCACATAAATTTTTTATAAAATACATTAAAGAGAAAAAGAAATATAATAAATGTCATTGCATTTTTATATTTATTTCGTAATATTATTATATTTATTATGAAATATAACATTCTTAATAATGTAATAAATAATTATATAAATTATTTACTACATTATATAATAAACTAATATTAATATATAATGTAATAAATATATGCATGAATAAGCATATATGTAATTTATTTCATTATATATTATACATAATAAATAAGTATATAAAACATACATTAATAATAAAATAATAAATAATAATTAATATATAATAAAAGAAAATATGGCGAAGATAACAATCTGATATTTTTCGAGAGAGGAAGAAGGTAAAAAATACAAATTAAATCCCTCTGTACTTCGTATTAATCTATTTGCACATTTTTAAAAGACATCTCTCTTTTTTTTTATTTCCATTAACATCCAGGCTCTTAACTTTTTTTTTTT